GACACAGGTGTGCGTTTCCCGTACACGTATGTACTGTAACATTGACATAAATATGACTCGCGCTCGTGCTCTAAGCTTGCTATTGCACGATAAAGAACACACGTTAGGGATTAGCTTTCAACTCTTTAGGGCTAAACAGATTGTAATTGCTATTTCGTTTGGATTATAACCTTCCACGCCATCTGTCACTGTATTTCTTTTTTGTGTCCTCTTTGCCTGTAATAGTTTTTAGGTTCAAATTGTTTTACGATTAAAATCTTGGTTCGTTTAAGTCATCATTGTAAGCCGTTTCATATTTTTTTCCTATAAAATAATGTTATTAGATTGGAAATGGTATACACAAATCAGTGTAAAATTACTCGATAAATGCATGGCCACGTAATTGTCGGATTACTATGTAATAGTAATGATAAACACGCATGTTTTATAGCAAGTCGCCGGTGCGGTGCGGCGGAGCGCGTTGTGCAACAATCCGATAATGTGGGTCAAATTGTTTACAAGTCAACCGAGGTTGCGGCTCGACATATTATTATTTTAATTGCTCTATTTATGGGCATAATGTTCTCGATTATAATTCAGGAATTACACGAGTTACATTAGTAATATGCAATCGCTTATCGGGACCGTAATTGGCATCTTAAGTGCACTCACCTTGTACAAATTTATTCTTTTTTTATCTGCGGCGTAATTAACATTGTTGTTTATTGAATGTTTATTCCATAACTAGCACTTTAGATTACACGTGTCTCATATAGATTATTCATTATAGTAAGCAGAAATATTCTACTTGCTGTATAAGGAGATACTTTGATAAAAAATAACATATTTTATACATTTAATAAAGTTAATAAAGAATATCATCTCACGATCTTAAGTAACATGTGATGTTACTCCGCTGACAGGTGGAGGAAGTTTTGTCATAACAGTAAAATATGGAAATCTAAAACCAGAATATTACCAGAATCGGATCATAAGATATTTATAAAGATGTACAGTTTTGAAATAAAACCTCATTTGATTTCTTATCTGTTCCCCTGCTTACCTCATCGAGACTAATAAGACTTGAAAGGTTATATTTTAATCATACATAGATTAATGTTAATTTATACATATAAATTAAAATGATAAGCTTAATATTTATTACAATTAACATAATCCAATTGACAACATTACTGGAATTTTACCGCTTTATTTAACGTTGAATATTTTTTGACTTATTGATTTTGACAACCTTATAAATTTCTCAACAATTTTGGTTCTCATATAATTTTCTCAGGCAGCTTGCCCTTTTAGTGTTTAAAAATTCAATGGTAATTATTTTAATTTGTTCACAGTAAATTAAACAAGATGTCAAAATTTATTTCTTTCACGTCAAAAAACATAATTTCCTTATAAGTGTGACCATCGACCAATATCATAAATTTTGATTTAATAACATGAAGTCCATATTTCAACGTTCAGTTCGATCATTGTAGTGACAAGAATGATTGTATTAAACCATTCCAAACTAGCATATTATGAACTCGTGCTAGGAAATTTGAGTTGAATCACGACAGCATATGTGTAGCCCAAGCTTTACTTAAATGTAATGAAGATTAACATAATGCATTTTTACAGGACTGGGACGCTCGTCTGGCGGGTTCGGAGGCGGGTGTGGGCACCGACTTGCTATCATCATTATGTGCGGAGTCGGCGGAGTGGCGGAGTGTACAGGATGGCCAGCGTATCCTGACCTCGACGCCGTCAGTGCTGGGCGGCTGCCGCGCTCAGGTGTACCGCGTCGCAGGCGCAACGCAGTGGTACACTGCGGTTATAGTCGGCGTTAATGAGCACACCGGGGTGAGTAATTTCCTGAAGAGTCTACGTTACTTAGAAGTAAAACATTTTTGAATGCAACAAATCGATTATTCAGTCACTAAAGCGAACATTTTACAGCAATTAATTCTGAATCAATATTGAAATTTAGATGTCGTCGTCGTGTTCTTTAATCGTTCTAATTAATGTAAATGAGGAACAGATGTTAGCGACCTATCCTTTCAGATTCTATGATTCCTAATAATCACGTCACAACTTCATAACATAAACCATTATTAGAGTCGTCTACTATAGAGGTTACATTAATTAAATAATTTTATCTTGTGTTGTTAATGTATTCCTTTCTTTTTATGTTATACACCTGAAAACATTTTATGTCTATAAAAAGTACAAGCAGCAAAGAAAACAAAAATAAATAGAAATGAAAGTAATTCTTTGTGTTGTAGAACGAAGTAATATTAGTTTCGCCGGCCTCCAGACGTGCGTGTATAAACTCAGACACAGTGAGCGGGCTTTATGTTCCACAAACAATGGGAAACGTTTCGCTGTAATATTCCCCCGTGTTTGCATTAACCAACCCCCCTTTCCCCGAATCCCGTTACCCCTTCTCTCTGTTTTATACCTAAAGTTGTGATTTTAAAAGCAATGTGCGCCTGTTGGTATAACCTATTTACCCACGCTTATCGTTGTTGTGATATCATCCACACGTGAATTCCGTCTACCATTGTCATTTTGATCACGATATATGATAAAAATATTATGACAGCGAAAATCTAATTTGGAAAGAAAAATAAAGGGATAGCGAGAAGAAATTCAAATACTAGAAATATTTTCCATGTTCAACGGACGACTTGCTTTTGTTTTTGTTCGTTTTTTTTAATTACTGCCGAATATGGTATACTTAAAATGTATAGAAAATTATTTGGAATATGCCCTTAATACAAAATAAGAGTAAGACTTAATTTAGAAAAGATCAATGAGATACCAAGAATTTCCATAGTTCATGGCAATTTCAGTAACTCGGCAATAGATGTCGCTAATTGTTGTACTTTAACGTCGTTAAACGATTCGACGTTGTAATCAAAACAGCAGTTTTGCTTAGAAACAGTCTTCTGCAATGCATCTTAATTAATTAAAATGCGTTAAGAAAACCGAATCTGTATAAATTAGGTATTGGTAAATCTTCAAGCTGAAGATTAGAACATCTTATTGTAGACTCATAATTGACAGTGTAATTAAAATTACACAAAGGTATGTCTTCTTTACTGTATAGACATCCTATAACATAAATATTTGCTTTACTTTACCGATGTTTGCCCTTCAGTACAAGATGATATAAACGGGCATGCAGTCGTAGTCAAGTGACCATATACTCACGCGTAGAGTCGGGCTATTAGAGTGGGCGAACCAACACATATATGGTGCAATTGATTGACTCATTATTCCCTTACTCGTAACAGTATAAACATGCCTTTTCGTAACGTGTTTGTGTTCATAAGTGTTTTATAACGTAGATATTAATAAATTGTATTGTTTTTAAGTTTGTAATATTAATTCAAACTTCGTAAGTAGGAATTCGTTTCAGACAAATGTACTTAGTACTTTTGTTTGCGGTGATCCAAATCATATTCCGGGCATTAAATGCTTCGATTTAAAAATATATCGCCTTTTCCTCTGTTGGTAATTTAAATTAGAAATTTTACATACAATTCGCATAAATCTAGATTATGTTAATATTATCTTATTTCCCCCGAATTGGCGTCTGTTATTGCATTCAGTATAACCGGTTTATCCAACGTTTTATTAATCACTAGACAGTTTAGAATTAATTTTTATACATATTTATGACTTATATTTAAACATGATAACTTGTTCTACAGGATTTTTAATATAAACTGTACTTTATACTTATGTAATGCTTTTAAATTGCAAACTATCACTTAACTATTTTAACCTCAGTATTTAATGTATTTACATTGACTTAAATACTAAGGACTCAAATAAGTATCACATAATATAGAAAGTACATACCACAATGTTATACTTGTCCGTGTTCAATTTCTTATAAAGTACACTATTGTGTGAGGACAAAACTTTCACTAACAATCTGGTTCAATTGTATGTCGTAGAAAAGCTTTCAACTCGACAATAAATTAGTATTAAACGTGACATTGTATCAATAAACGGCAGCTCGTGCCGTGAGCGGGCGCCACCCGAACGGGGGTTGTTTCCCCCTTCGGTTATAACTCCGACGAGTACTTCTGTTTTGCGTTATTGAAACACTTTGTTTTTCTTTCATCTCGTTTGAAGAATACGGACACGAATAGAATAATTTCTAGTTAGAACTACGCATTCTGTTGAATGATGCAAATAATATCATTTTTTTGAACGGATTTCATTGCTTACATATGTTTTTATATACTCGTAAATATAAATATTACTCTCATGTTTTATATGTTTTATTACAAGGATTTAACAATCGTAAGATATGAAATATACAGCAATGGTCCTTGCAAAAGACTTAACGAAGTCACTGAATTATTTACTGTAATCAATAGCCAAGCAATATTTGTTGTTTAAAGTCAAAACGTACACGTATACATAATATTGGCAGTAACGTTATAAAATGTGATAATGTTTTATCGAAACAAAGAACAGAACAACATTTAGTAGTCTCTCCGCAGTGTTGATATGAAACAAATATTACAATTCAAAAGTTTACAAGATCGCCCTCAAAGTTGCAAAGTACTTCAATCTATCTTGAAGTTCTCTAAGTAATTACAGTTAAAAAGTTGAGACGTTAAACAAATTTATACTGCGAATTAGTGAACGACTCGGGTGGTCCGTCCAGACTACAGACGTCAAAGTTTTGAGTAAACCACCCCGCTTGGCCCCTTTCCTAGTTTCACGAGTAACTTTCTTAAAGTTCTCCTCTTACCCTCTTTGTTTCTGCTGAGTTTGCTCCGAACTTTGTCTGTTGCCCTACAACATGTTTATCGGCGATCCGATAAAGCGATGTTGTCTTTTGACTCCTTTACTACTTCTTTAATATTTTTTCAAGATCACAAACAACTTACAAACTTCGATTAGTTCTAAAAGCAAACTGTACCAAAACTTTGTTTTATTATAAACTCAAACTTAACAACTTTGAAACATCGTGTATAAATCCCTCTGAGTTTTATTTAATTTTCCTGTCATGTTATTAATTTTACCAGTAGTTTTTTCTGCCGGCGCTACGGAAACTTTTTATGAGTTTTATTTCACTTATGTATGCGATAAGTATAAGTTAATAATTCTGTATAGGTTATGCTTATCAGAACAATACAAACGTTATCATATAATTCTTCATCCCCAGAAATAGTTACATAAAATGCAGAAGAGAAAATTCCAATAAGCGTTGTGCACGTTTATAAAAAGATCGCATATGCATTGATTCAATTAAAGGGTTATTAATCCCTAACCGGTCGTCTCCCACGTAGAAATGTGTCAGCTCGATGGTACAGTAAATTGCATTTACGACATGTGTGTCGCGACCGCACGAGTGGGGCGGCCGCCTGCCGGAAACTCATTCCACTCGTTAGCTTAATAAGAATTAAAAAAAAAATCAACCGCCGCTCTAGTATACATGCCCTACCTTCAGACATGGCGGCGCTTTTAAGCGTTTTCTTAGGCTCAATCGCCTTTTATAAAGTAATTTTGACTTGTTCGTGAGAATTTCATCAATCAATTAAATAACTTAGTCTTTTTATTGATTTTTAGGTTTATTTTTAGGCAATTTTACGGGAAATCTTAAAATAAATTTCACCTTAATTAGAAAGACTTTTTTATAGTTTTCTTTAAGACGTTTATTATTTTTGTTAGTCCGTACAAACGTTCTTCTAGTCATACTCTAACTACCAATGTTTAAATTTCTCAATTGCAAACACAACATCCTCTCTTTTAACATTCTTGATAGTAACACTGCTAATAATATACGTTTAGTTAGTTAATCAATCAACTATGGTCAGGTTTCCTCGTTTCTCAAACGGACTCTGTAAATATTTAAAGAACGTTGTACGATGAAAGCAATATAAAGCAGACGCGGCATATTTACATGTACGCGAAGCCGTGAGAAAGTTTTAATAGCGATTCACTGAATCTTGTTTGCTCTGATGCGAAGGGATTTCCTGGCACTGTTGGAGTATCTTATTTGTTGTTTATCTTTGGAGATATAAAAGTTACCCCACTTTTATTGATTGTTTTAATAGTGTTATGTTTATAAGTAAAATTGCACAATTTAGGTGATTTCCCAATATCATAAAGGCCCATGTTTTAAGAATTACGTTATCTGAAACGAAATCCTAGAATACGTTCTTGATTTTTAAAGAGGATATAGTGGGAATGTTTTATTCTTGTATGCTGTTTCAATACAGTAAAGGTGTCCGATTTCTGACCACAGGATATACAGCGGTAGACTAATCTATAGTATCCTGTGAATGGAATGCTTAGACCCTTCCTGGTTCAGTTTATCCCTTCGTCCCCACGGACACTTATAGTTATTACATTGTTTAGCTATTAGTTACCGTTCAAGCACTTCGTCGATCTGAAACCGTGTATTGTACGGCATGTCATATTCATTCACTAAAATCTTGATCTCTCAAACAATGGTTAATTTAATTCAAAGAATAGAGTGTTTTATGAATATTCTCTCACGTCTTGTCACTTATGCGACTTGAAAAACAAAGAGAAAATCATGCATGACGAAATAAAAATTGTCTTCATCTACATTCTTTATATAATTTTTGATTCAACAATTGTCAGTCTCATTTTACTAGAGTGAACTAAAATAATAGTAATAATGATTCTACATACGTAAGATGTTGTTTCGTACAAATTTAAAGTCTAAACGGCTTTATCAATTTGGAAGACTGGAGAATTTTCTCGGGTGGATTTTTAGGAGGAATTTTTATGAAATGAAGATGTGATGATTTTTGTTAATTGTTCTTTTTTTAAATGAGTTACTATACGTTCTAATGGTGGTTCTTTTTCCGTAGGAGCTCACAGTGACTGACGACACGGTGTTGGAAGAGCATAGTGAGGACCCCGCACTGGTGCAGATGAGACTTCTCGGTGATGGAGGTAAATTGACTAATACATCTGCCATAAACATACTATATACGATGTTTAAACGAAACTTTGTTTGCATAAACGGTAAATTAAGAAAAGATTAGGGACATTTCAATGAAACTTTGTATATTAGTCAATATAATTTAAATAAGTTGACTCTTTTATTACAATGCATCAGTTTTTTATTAAAATGCTCTACTTCTAAAATGATTGTTTAAAAGTAGGGCAGTAGCTATTTTTGTATTTTAAATTCTGAATGTGCTATCAATTAATTTATCCATTGTCGTGTTAGCATCATAAAATGCAGATGTGGTCTCTGATTACGCTAACTCAGTGAATCAGCGCATTGCGTAACCGGCATCGCATCGGCGACTGCTAACTGCGCCCATTACGCCCGTCTGCAGAACAATGACGTCCGGGTTCACTGAGCACACTACGCTTTATAAACACAATTCAAATGTATTAAACCCGTATTCCACTAGCGTTAAATATCTGCGCAAAGGTGTGCGTGCGATTGTTATTTTTACCATCTGTATTATTTCCGCAAGTGAGGCCACGTTTGTAGTAGAAATAACAGTCGTGCGCCTCATCGGTTAGTGGAAAAGACACGCGCAGACGTCCTTTGCTTACGTTACTTTGTTGTTTTATTGTAATTTAAATAGATAACCTGACATCACAGTATAAATAATAATACGGTGGTTTTATAGTAAAGATATAGTATAGTAAACTTTTGACTCTTTACTCAAGTTTAGTTATAAAATGTTGTCCAAATCTTATGTAATTCACATCAGCCATTCCGTAGTTAGTTTTGGCAAAGTTGAATCGTAGCGCTCAACTAAAAGTAGGACGAATTTATTAAAGTGCAGTTGAACGTTTTTTGTCGGGAATTTTTATGTTTATGAAGAACTATAATATGTTTGGGGAAGTTATATTAATAATCTGTTATTTTGAAAACAATATGAATTTGTAAATGTAGCTAAATGACATTGTAAATCGGTAATCTTTAATGGGACAAAGATTTATATTTAGCTAGCTAAATTTATATATCATACTAATATTATAATTGCCAAAGTTTAGATGGATGGATGTTTGTAAGAGTTTGTAGCCTAAACGGCTTAACGGATTTCGATGAAATTTGGTATATATGTAGAGGATAGTCCGGAACAACACATAGGCTACTCACTTTTGTTTTTTTTTTTAATTCCACGCGAACGGAGTCGCGTGCGAAAGTTAGTAAACCATATGTTTAATTTGACAATTTATAATTGATTTAAATTTCTGACCTTTTGCTTTCCCATTTGCGTCAATAAGAGCAAATATTTAAAAATTCAAGGTTATACTCGTATTTAAGTGTTCGCAATTATATTTCATCCACAAAAATAAGTTAATTAACAAAAAATAACTTCTACGTGGATAACACTATCTTTAGTTATCGAATTACAAAATTACTTCCTGATGTATATTTAATTTTCAATTTTGCTTCAATATAGAGTGAACAACTCGTTTTGATACTTGTATGACGTAGGTATCACAGCTGTTAGGTTACATTTCATTGTTTCTTACAATGTTTGTGACGTATGTCTTAATCAACATGAATCGATGTTGACAAAATAGTTGTTTCAGACGTATTACAAAGAAAGGATTGCGACATTAATGTAAACAGACTTATTATATCCAGTAATAACCAGAAATTATATTTTCAATGCGGAAAGCTTACATTTACGTGGTTATTATAGTTAATTGGTTAAAATTACAGTATGTACGTTTCAAATTGGATCATTAAAAATTATAGATTTTAGCTTTTTATTTCTTGAACTCTGATATTCAGATAAAAATAAATGTTATGTCCAAAAAATATCAAATTTACTTAAACGATATATTTTTTTGATTTGAGAGTTATTACGTCACAATATGGCGCGGGTTCACGGACATTCGTAATTGCAATGCAATGTACACTTATAGGCTTGTTTACAGATAAGTATCACATTTTATCGACATTCATTACATCATATTGTTCACGTGTACGCGTTAAAGTGTATCATCGTTTGTATTATGTAATTATGCAATGTTCGATTTGCTAACAATAGTAAGCATTGCGTAACCAAGTGCATCCGAGTCGTATTGTAACACTAGACGGGAGATAGTGAAACAACGTTGGTATTACTGAACGTATAATTGGATGCTAGAAGCCATACCTAACATGTGCAGTTTATCCCCCGTTATACGTGCCATACTATATGCAGAACAACCACGCTTATTTCTTTCCTCTAATTAATGTGGCTTATCTCAATTTATAAGTAGACCGACAAACTTATCATCTATAGTCATTTAAAGACGAGAGACATGATAGTTCCATTTTCTTAATAAAAAAAATGTAAGAAATCATATGCTTCAGATCATTGGAAAAAATTCAGCGTAATATTATTTGATGTTCTACAAAAATGTATTATTAAGTTTCCGGCAGTTTTATTGAATAGAATCAGTCCCTCTTGAAATATGATAGCGACCCTTATCGAGGTTTGATCTTTACGTGTTATATTTTACTCACTAAGCTCCCCTTTCTAGGGGTTGCAATTCTTTTTTCATCTTTTGAAGTCGCATTAGTGTTTTTAGGTGCCTGGAATTGTTATTATTGACGTTACTTAGCAGTTTCAAGGAATTTTTTGACAGTAAATTGTACTTATAAATGATTTTTATTGTTGTTGTTAAGCGAAGAGTAAAGATTTTCTATGAAATTTCCTTGAGCTCATTGAAGTTGAATTAATAAGATTGCTTTTGTTTCAGTGATCGAGTCTATAATGAGGGGGGAAGTGGTGGGAGTGATGCCGAGAAGATCTCGCTCTAATCTACAAGTGAGTTTTACCTATTGTAAATTATCGCTTGGAACTTTTAATCGATTACCTTCAAATGTAACTAACGTTGGAAAAAACAATCGCAATACTTGATCTATTTTTTTTTTGGCGAGAGCTCCATTTTTGTCAATGTTATACGATGTAATTTAAAATATGTTCAGCTGTTAATTTTTTTAAATATAAAATGTCAAAATCCGCACTCTACGGCCATTACATTTTTCTTTTTTTTAAATCTCATTCAGATTTTAATCAGAAAACTGTTTCATCGAAATTTATATTTTCTCATTGAATAAATACGATTCAGTTCTCATAAAAACTTTGCAAATCTTCATGTTTGTACGCGACCTTATTAAGGTTCGCGAAGCGTTTTGACATTTATCTTTTTAAGGCACCAAGGTGACTAAGTCGCCTGAATGACATAATTTAATTGCTTTCTTTTTTTGGTTTCACAAACGACTGACATTTCAACCTTGTTGTTTGTAAATGTTTTAAATTTATTTTGGGACAGTCACGTTGAATGATTTGAAATGCGGATCATTTATTTTTAACAAACAGATGGTATGGTACACATTTTGCAGGTTTGTATGTATGTTCCATGTATCTTCCATTGTATACCTTCTGTATCCTAATTTTGATTCATATATAAGAGTGGGTTGTCACTATTTCAAAATACTGTTGATGCCATATTGATATTTTCAGCCAGTTTTATTAACGATATAAATAATGACTTTGTTTATTATACAGCTATCAATTTATTTAATTTATTACTTTGTGTATATCAAACAAAACTCATTAGTAAAATCTGTCAGAGAACCAACGCCCAATTATTAAATCTCAAGTATTATATTAATGAATATCGTATTACACATTATATTTTTGATTCCAGATCATTCTCGTTACTATGCATATTTCGACAAACTCGTTTTATATAAAAACGAAGGCCGCGATAGTTGAGTGATCTCGTATCTTGCCTTGATCTACACAATCTGATTTAAAATGCGCATACCCTTGAGCTTGTAAACGCTTAATGATTATTGATACGGAAAGAGAAAGGTTTATGGTGAGAAAGAAGTGTGACGGAATATTTTGACAGTCACGTGTTTTAACCAGGCAAACTGGCCTGAACATATGATCTTTCTAAATCAACTAACGCGACTGGTTCACTGTCTTGTACAGAACCAATTCATTAACATTAATTAATATTATATATCAATTGTTGTTAGCTGCCTGTATTATTGAGCTCCTAATGGTCTTTCAATGTTATTTGAATGAGTTGTAAACCTACTACACAAGATTTAGTATCTAAGGCTCATTAACTATTCTAGGTACATGTAAATGTAGACACTAATGATCAATTCTCGCACAAGTCGCTACAGGTCTGACGCATGCGCAAATTTAACTTGAACTCTCTGGGGCTTGAATCCGCTAAATCTGGTACGAATTCGTTTTCTGTTTATTTTACCTCCTCCCCAATGGCTGAGTTCGATGACGAGCCACGTATAAATAGCTCAAGTGTTTACCGCTATTAATACTATTCCAACAGCATACGAAGCACACTATTTTATTAACTAATGAATAATGTGTTTTGTAAACAAATATAACTTTAGGAATATAATCGTGCACTAGTTGTTATGTTAGTAAGCAATAAAACATTTGTTAAGCATTATACTTTACAATTTGTTAGTAAATCAGCAAACTATAAAAGTGTAAATAGGTCGTACAGATTTTGTGTCAGTTGTAAGTTGGGACAGTGGTCGCGTGCAGTGTGCATACAGTTGCATGCACCGCTGCACTCATTTGAATATTGGACTAGAGACAGTGCACAACTTCCCCGCTAACATTGTTTTCAACTCATGTTATCCCGGTGTGATTTGGTCGCTTTGAATTCTCCACACTGAAAAGTTTAGCGGAAATCTAATTAAATCCGTCCAATGCAGAGGGACTTTATGTAATTTATGTGACGGTATGCTGAAACTGGTTATTATTATTATTATTTTATTATCACAAGAAAGGTTTTTCTTAGACTTCCATATCTGTTTCGTGTAAATTAAAAACCAAGTAACATTATATAGCGTCTAATAATTCCTAGTACTTGTTTAAAATAACCTTTCTTCGAGAATGTTCATTAGAAATTTTCATAAAATTCTCATGAAACGTCGCTCGGTCGTTTGCCGAGGACATTAAACTACGGAGCCGTAGATAGATCACTGTTTGCTTTAATTTTATACTTTGTCTGGATATACAAGGTCTTAAAGGACGACGACTGAAGGCCGCTCGAGATCCTCCTAAAGGTCGGCCTTCGAATTGACCTTTAAAGTAATAACAGTTTACCTTCGCTGAAACCTTTTTGTTTCTAACTTAGATTATTTTTTGACTCTTTTACGTACCCTTTTCATGTTATGTATTATATTTTATTCATTGAATCTTACAAAAATTTATTACTAAACGAAAATAAATATGACATGATAAAACCGCTTACGAAATAAATCGAAAATATTCTATAAAATTTCCTTAAGTGATACTCACTTCACTTTATCAAAAAGGTGTCTAACTATTGCTTTCTTATCGAGCCATTCTCGATTTGCTCATCCATTCGTACTGTAATCGATATTTCAAACTGTTTTATGGAGTCATACGATATCCAAAAAGTCTAATGCTCTATAAATTTTATAATTTTAAATTAGAATTTGTGATTCTGTCTAAACATTTTATAACACTTTACATTGGTAATTTTGAATATACCATTTCTAATCAAATAACATGTCTTGTGAGCTGTCTGTTTGGGTTGGGTCGACGTTAAACGTTTTGGACAAAACAAAAGACAACAAATTAACTGGAACACAAAGAGAATCCACTGACGTCGAGCACCGAGCCCTATCGTCTTCGTGTTGATACGTGATTACTTTGTACTTGTAACAAAATCCCTCAAGCATGTCGATAATATCCTTTATTTATAAAATTTAATTTCAACTTCGTGATGTTTGGAATTATATTTATAGATCAAGATAAACTTACAACCTCAGTTACTTTAACGTTTTTATTGGACTTGTACAAGTTTTCCTGTTATGTTATGCGGGGGTTCCCATGTTTATGTTTTTTTTATATATTTAGTTTTGTTTTATTGTGTTCCTATTTTTTACGATAGTAAAATCGTAGTAATGGCATAGCGAAAAAAAAAATAATTACATTACATTTTATGATCAAGTAGTTGAGAGCACATAAGTAAACAGTGATGTGCGATTTGTCTAGCATTCGTCAATTTTAATTGGAGCGAAAATGTAGCAGCCCATAAAGCCTACAAAATAATACTATTAACCGGAGCGCTGAATACTGAATCGTTCAAGGGGGGTTCAAATTACCGCACGAGTAATTTGTCTGGTTCAGCGACCCCTTTTCGAATGCCCGAGAACACTCCACGCGCCGATACTACAAACAATTCATCTAGTACGATAGAATTGTAGATTATATTGGATTATAGACAGGACGGCTTCACCTTTCTCAAGAATAACAAAAAGCGTTGATCTAAAAAACTCAGTAATAGATATTTATTCATAGGATACGTGCAAATTACTCACAGGAAAATATTAATCAGTTAGATACATAATACAGTTGAAAATCTGTTTTAATATTTGAATGGCGCTTATAAATTTACGAAATTACGCGTTAATCTCGACTAACATTTACAGTAATGTTTCGCCGAAGCAGTCTTAGCTGGAACGACGCCAAACATAATTCTTCTTTCTAATAAATTGTCTCGTATGTTATAACTTTCGTCAAACATAACGATGTTTACGATGAAGCTATTTAAATATCAAGGAAGTCGTTAAAATTGTTAATACGAAATTGCTTTAATTTTTGCAACATGGAATGTACTAAAACTGAAAGATCTTTTAAAGAGTTTTATAATTTTTAGCTATTGAATTTAGAGTTGTATCAAAAAATGGTGGACAGTTTAAAATCCCCCTTCTCTTTAACTTCTTGAGATTTCATATCATTAGATTGATAATTGGTGATGGCCTAAGCTCTTTGTTTTTTTTAAATATATGCTTAATATTAAACAACAGCTTAAAGTTGCATGGCATTAATTATTTTACTGAATAAAGACCATACATTCAAACTTCCATTCAATTCAAAGTTAGATTTAAGTGAAAAAAATGCATTGCATTTTGTCCGTAATAAAATTGGAACGTTATTTTTCCAATTTAATTTTCACGCTGCGCAGTTTGCAATCAATAAAATATACTACACTCTATGCGTTTATTTATATTTGACTTTGACCATTAATATTATAGTCAATAACATTATTATTAGTAATGTAACTTTAAAATAATCAAAATAGCATATTTAGGCTACATATATGCAACAAACGAACTTTTATTTCGAATCGAAAACAAACTACTCGCAGTATTTACTATCTTCTAAGGATTGTAACCAATGAGTAAGTAGCGTTCACTAAGAGATTTTTAAAAACTTGTTGTGATATGATGTCATCAACTTAGACTTATGGTACCATGCCAAGTCCCCTATTAATGTTGTACTAATTTTATCTTGGTCCAATTATTATTAGGACAAATAAATAATCTAGCATAGGTGAGTTCACAGCTACGACTAGATATTTGATAATGACTATGGTGTTTATAACGAAATCGCTATGAATAACTTAAGAGTTTTTACTTGTATTGAAACAGTATAACAATTCATTGAATCAATGGAATTGTACTTATTAAATGACAATGTTTACCGACAAATCGTAAGCATTGTTATGATCAATCAAAAGACAATCGCAAGAGGGTGTCTCGAGCGGTTATACTCGTCAAAGTTTCCAACAACATCGGCCGACTTTCCACCTCTATCGGGCGAGTTAGTTAATGCGACTTCCCGTGTAGATACGGATATCGATCGCGACAAGTGCTGGATGCCGGGGCTCGTCTGGCGCGCCCGCGTACCCGAGCAACCCCATCCCCTCCGCGCCTCATCCTACCGCACACCCCGCTCATCCC